AAACCTTAACAAATTTAGAAGTGAAATCATATAAAGTATGTTCTTTGACCATAATGGTATCAAACTAGAACTCAAAAATAGATAACAAGAAAATCTTTAAACACCTGGGAACTACAACATACTTTTAAATAAATAATCCATGGGTCAAAGAAGACATCTTGAAAGAAATAAAATACACATGAAACCGAATAAAAATGAAGGCAGAACATATCAAAATATGTGGACACAGATAAAGTAGTGCCAAGAGGGAAATTTATAGCACTTAAAATGTTTATATTAAAAAAAGGAAAGTTCTCAGTAAATAAGATTCTATCTAAGAAACTAGGGGAAAAGAGAGCAAAATAAACCTAAAGCAAGAAGGAAGGAAGGAATAATAAAGATCAAAAATAAATGAAATTGAAAACAGGAAAACCACAGAGAAAATTAATGGAATAAAAGGCTGGTTCTTTTTAGGAAAAAAAAGTCAATGAAACTGATAAACCTTAGGAAGAGTGACAAAAATAGAGAAGACACAAATCACCAATATCAGGAAACAGATTTCACTATGTTTACCACTATTCAACAATGAAAATTCTAGCCATCACAATAAAGCAAGAAAAAGAAATAAAACACCTATCTATTGGAAAAGAATAAAACAAAACTGTCCTTATTTGCAGATAACATGATGATCTGGGTAGAAAATTCCAAGAAATCCAAAGGAAAGCTCTTAGAACCATTGTGTTCAGCAATGTCATGGGACACAACATCAAGATATGAAAATCAATCACATTGTTATACACTAACAATAAGCATGTGTAAACTGAAAATAAAAGCACAATATCATCTATGGATTGCTTTAAAGAAAATGAAATACTTAGGTATAGATTTAATAAAATATGAATAGGACTATATGCTGAAAAGTACCAAATGCTGATGAAAGAAATCAAAGAAGACCTAAAAAAATGAAGACATTCTGTGTTCACGAATTGGAAGACTCATCATAGTAAAGATGTCAATTCTCCCCAAACTGATCTATAGGTTTAACCTGATTGCTATCAAAGTCCCAGTAAGTTTTGTTTTGTTTTCTTTTTTTCCCCACAGACATAGACAAGTTTATTCTAAAACTTACATTGAAAAAAGGCACCACAGGTCCTAGAATAACTAAAACAATCTTGAAAAAGTGGGAAAAATCATTCTGATATTAAAGCCCATTATATAGCTACAGTAATCAACACAGTGTGATACTGGCAGAAAGAAATCAACGAAACAGAAGAGAGAACCCAGAAGTAGAAGTACACAAATACGTCCAAATGATTTTCAACAAAAGTACAAAAGCAATTCAATGGAAGAAGGATGGTCTTTTCAACAAATGGTACTAGAGCAACTAGAAGGAAGAAAAATGAACTTTCAGCTAACCCTCATACTTTATACCAAAATTAACTCGAAATAAATCATGAATTTATATATCAAACTATAAAATTTTTAAGAAAAAAATAAAATTTTAGGGATCTTGGGCTAAGCAAAGAGTTCTTAAACTTGATATCAAAACTATGATCCATAAAAGGAAAAATTGATGAAATTAAAGACCCTGTTAAGAGGATGAGAAGACAAGCTACAGACTGGGAGAAAATATTCACAAACCACATATTTGACAAAGGACTAGTAACTAGAATATATAAAGAACCCTTGAAACTCAACAATTAAAAAAAAAAGCAACTATTGCTGGGCATGGTGGCTCACACCTGTAATCCCAGCAACTTGGGAGGCTGAGGCAGAAGGTCCACTTGAGGCCAGGAGTTCAGCCTGGGCAATATAGTGAGACACCATCTCAAAAAAAAGTACCCTAATCAGAAAATGATATGAAGAGATATTTCACTGAAGAGGATATACAGATGGCAATTAAGCATGTGAAAAGATGTTCAACATCATTAGTCATGAGGGAAATGCAAATTAAAATCACAATAAGGTGTCACAACACACATATCAGAATGGCTAAAATAAAAAATAGTGACAACACCAAATGCTGGCAAAGATGTGGAGAAACTGGATCTCTTGTACAGTGCTGGTTGAAATGTAAAATGGTACAGTCACGTTGGAAAATTTTTTAACTACCATACAACCCAGCAATTGCACTCTTGGGGCATTTATCCGAGATACATAAAAACCTATGGACATACAAAAACATGTACATACATGTTCAGAGAAGATGCATTCATAATGGGCAGTAACTGGAAATAACCCATGTCCTCCAATAGGTAAATAGTTAAATGGGGTACTGTGGTAAATCTATATCATGGAATACTATTCAGCAATACAAAGGCAGGGACTGCTGATACAACCACTTGGGTGAATCTCCAGGGAATTACGCTGAGTGATAAAAGCCAATTCCAAAAGGCCACATTCTGCATGATTCCATTTATATAATATTCTTGAAATGAGAAAATTATAGAATTAGATGATAGTCATCACCAGGGTGTGGGAGGGTAAGGGGGAGGGAGTGGCTGTAACAGGACCATATCAGGGATCCTTACAGGGATGGAAATGTTCTGTACCTTGACTATATCAATGCCAATATCCCGATTGTAAGATTATATTATAGTTTTACAAGATATTACCATTGAGGGAAAGTGGGTAGAGGGTACATGGGATCTCTATTATTTCTTACAATTACATAGGATTCTACAATTATTTCAAAAGCAAAAGTTTTATTTAAAAAAAAAAAAAAAGACCAGGTTTGGTTTCCAGCTCTGCCAGCCGCTAATTAGACAACTGACCCTGAGCAGATTTAAAACTCTTTATCAATTTCCTCATTGGCTAAATGAGATAATACCATCTGGAGCATTCTGAAAATTAAATACCATATATGAAAGGACCTGGCACAATGTTCATAGCACATAGTGCTTTAAAAATAGCCTGTTAACACTAAATCTCTATGTAGACATAAATATTACTCTGAATAGTATCAAAGTAATAGTATCAAATGTCCACTACTAAAGCTACTACAAAGCAATTGAAAGTCTCTTCCTAAAGGGATCTGTCCAAATAAAAATGGGAGGGGAAAGGGAAGGATTTTTGGTTTTAAATTGAAAGATGAATTTCTAATTAGTGAGTTTAGTATGGAACTATAATTAGTAAAAAAAAAAAAAACAATACTAGTTAACACATCTTGTTTCTGTTGGTCAGTAAAAGTTAATGTTTATATGCATCAGGAAAAGGTTAAGACTGAGTTTTATAAAACACACTAATACACTGATTTAGATTTAAGATTCTATGTTTCTGAATCTTTTCCCCACCTCCTGAGTTGAAAGAAACTGCAGATAGCCAAATCTCTACACTTTTACTTAGATGTGAGGTCCAGGAAAGCAGCAAAAATAAAATCAGGATCTTTGACAGAGAAGTTAGAGAGCAGGTCCTGAGAGACGATCAAATGCACTTTACCCCAGAAAATGAGGGGAATTTTAAACACACAATCCATCCACAGTGAGTGACACTGGGCACCTAGTCTTTAAAGTTTATGAAATATTTGGCCAGAGCTCTGATTCACTAAGACGCTTTTGAAAGAGGTGAAACGAAAAGGGATGTTTTATCATTCAAATTACTTTCCCCCCCTCACAATCCTAAAAGAGTTATGTCTAAATGAAACATTTTAATAACAAATACGTAGAGGGAGAATACTGGCCCAGAAGTGTGGAGCCCTGGATTCCAGCACAGAGATCCCAGTAAGACTCACTCATCTCCTAGGTTCAGCTGGAACGTCCTTGTGGCTGAAGTGAAAGAAATGTACCAGATGGGTTTCTACAGCCCTTTGCTAAATTTAAAATCCCTCAGGCACCATAAAATGTAGTCTCAAGGCAGGTTTTCTGGTATGACAAACATCTCTCCACCTCTGCTTTGAGACACACTTTTCTCATACCTGTAACTTGGTTTCCCCAAAACAGGCTTGGAAAAAAGTGGTGAGGGGACAAGAAAAGGGTAGAGATAAAACTAAAAAACAAAACAAAACAAAACCCTATCTGGGTGCAGGAGACCCTACTTTCCCCTCATCATCAGTTTTCTCCAGATTTCCTTTATTCTGGGCCCTTAGCACAGGCTTGCAGTGGTGAGACCGGAATCCAGACTTTGTTGATGCTACAGTTTCTCTCACAAACATGGCCAGAGACAGGAGGAGAACATGGACATGAATCGCATACAAGGATTTTAGTTGCACATGGATTCAAACAAACAAAACAATTTATCCCACAAGAGAGGAAATCTGAACACAGACTGGACATTTGGTGATACTAAGGAGTCATTATTAATTTTTTGGTTTGCTAACGGTACTGTGGTTATGTTTTTACAAGGAGGCCTTATCTTTCAGCGACACATACTGCAACGTCGTCTAATGCAACCACAAGAAGTCTGGGCTCTGCCTAGAGATCTTGTGGGGAGGGCATAGGTGCACGGGATTGGCACGGAACATGATCACAGTTGAGACTGGGGGTGGGGTAGGTTACGGCTCCTTCTACTATTTATTTTTGTACATGTTTGAAATTTTCCTACTAAAAGTTTAAAAAGAGAGACTCGTGGCCGGTTCCCCTTCAGACTACAGTGCTCATCGGAGATTGCGGGATGGCAGGGCGAGTTGGGCTCCCTCACCCCACCAGGTTGCAAGTGGGCGACGGGCAGATGCTACCCTGCGAGAAGTGGGGGCTGTCTCCAGTACCAGGACTCCCCCGTCCCCCAACCCCCAGAAGTCAGCCAGCTCTCCCATTCCCACCGGCCCGTCAGGCCCGGGGTGCGCAGGCCGCCCAGGGCTGAGCATCCCCAGCGCGCTGCCCTAAAGCCGCCCCGGAGACGGCCTGGGGGCACCGGGCCGCCCGGCTGGGGCTGGGGAGGCGGCCGGGCCGGGGGTCCAGGGTCCGAGGAGTGGACAATGAAGGGAGCCGGGCCAGCGCCGCAGACCTGCCACAAAAAGCCGCGGGCACAGCCGGCCCAGGCGCCCCACCTGGGCGCAGGTGTGCGGGCGGGCGGGGCGCGCTCACCTTGAGGATGTTGTCGAAGATGGTGTCTCGGAACTCGAGCAGCGCCTTCTGGTCGAACTCGCGGCCGTGGATGATGCGCATCTGCTTGAGGAAGGTGGACTTGCCGCTCTCGCCCGCGCCCAGCAGCAGGATCTTCACCAGGCGCCGCACGGCGCGCCGCTCGCGGGCCAGCAGCGCGTCGATGTCGCGGCTGCGCCTTCGGGCCTCGCGCTCCGCGTCGCGCGCCCCGCCCGCCCTGCGCTCGCGGGCCCCGCCGGCCTCGGCCGGCAGCAGGCAGCGGCTGAGGGTCCGCACCACCCCGGACATGGCCCCTCAGGCCGCGGCCGCGCCCCGCCCGGGCCTGGGGGCCAGGGACGAGCCCGCCGGCGAGCGCGAGCCGGGCCGAGGCGCCGCCCCACGCCCCGCGCGGCGAGCCCGCCGCTCCCCTCACACCGCGTCCGCAGTCGCCGCCGACGCCGCTGCGAGGCCCGCACCCGCCCGGCTGCAGCTCGGGCCCGGCTGAGGGGCGGGGGAGGGGCGCGGTGGGGCGGGGCGGCGCCGGTGAGGCCCGGCGGATTGGGCTGGCTGCTGTCCATCCGGCCGAGCGAGCTCTTCGATTGGTCTGTCCCGCCTCGGGAGGCGGGCGTCCCTCCTGCCCTCGGGGCGGGGTCGGCGCCGAAAGAGGCGGGATCTTTGGGGTGGGGGCGCTTGTCATTGGACGCCCAGGCCGAGGTTCTTTCTTTCAGAATGAAAGGGAGGCGGGGTTGTCGGGGAGGAGGAGTGGCCGTCCGCCATGGCCAATTGTAATTGCTCTGAAGTTACGTCAATCATAGAGAACTAGCTTGAGATTGGTGCTTCGCGGAATGGGGGGTGACCAGAAGTGCCAGGTGTACAGAAAGAGTCTGCCTTGGTTCCCAGGTCCAGTCAGCCTGTGAGGCTAGGGACCTCGCGGAGTGTACTAGGACGTTGGCTGAAAGCGGCGAAATGTCGATGAAAGGTCTAGCTGCTCATCTTATTCCTTCCGATGGTCCTGTTCCTAAACCATTTCCTTCCAGAAACACTGCAGAGGGATGGGTTGTAAATTTCAAACACATGCACTCTCATTTGAGAGTTGCAGAGGCCTGGGGGGGGGGGGGGCTTAATCATCAAAATCACCAGAAGCTGCCTGAAAAGCTCTTCTATAGCATAGCGACTGAGAGAGCATGGGGTCTGGAGTTCCTGGGCCTGAGCTGGAATCTCTGCTCGGCCAGTTACTAGTTGTACTCGTTGCAAACCTTTTAAGCAGTTTTTCTTTTTGCTGTTCTTAGCTTCAATTTCCTCATCTGTAAAATGGGAGTGATAATAGCAACTACCTCAAATTGTCGTGAAGATATAAACTGAGAATATGAACTTTCAAAGCATTTAACACAGTGCCTAGCCCAAAATAAGTTCTTGATAAGTATCAGTTGGTCTTATTTCAGATTCTTGCCTGTAAGATATACTGAATCAGAAGCTCCTAGAAGGAACTCAGGAATCCCTTAGGATAGTCAGGTGATTGGCCAGATTTGAAAACCATGGTCTTAAAGATCATCCTCTCCAAACTTCCCTTTCCACCACGTACAGATGGATACAATGAAGACTAGCAGAAAAGCGACCAACCCAAGTCACACAAGGGCCAATTAGAACTGTTACTATGTCATTCTGCCTCTACCTAGAGACAGGTGTACTCAATAGAAAAAATGATTACTGAATGATTCCATTCCATTCTATGAATAATTTTTGCATAATCATGAAAATGACAGGCACTGGAGATTTCTGGAGAGGAATCTGAAGATGGAAAAGATACAGCCTTTGGCCGGGCGCTGTGGCTCACGCCTGTAATCCTAGCACTCTGGGAGGCCGAGGCGGGCGGATTGCTCAAGGTCAGGAGTTCAAAACCAGCCTGAGCAAGAGCGAGACCCCGTCTCTACTATAAATAGAAAGAAATTAATTGGCCAACTGATATATATAAAAAATTAGCCGGGCATGGTGGCGCATGCCTGTAGTCCCAGCTACCCGGGAGGCTGAGGCAGAAGGATCACTCGAGCCCAGGAGTTTGAGGTTGCTGTGAGCTAGGCTGACGCCACGGCACTCACTCTAGCCTGGGCAACAAAGCGAGAGTCTGTCAAAAAAAAAAAAAAAAAAAAAAAGAAAAGATACAGCCTTTGCATCAAGAAACTTATATACATTAGTTAGGGAGCCAGACTGTTCAAATTATTGGGCAAAGTGGAGACTAAATTCATTCTTACTAAATACTTCCCTACATTTTGCCACAGAACCATGATATTCAAGCATTTAACTCAGAGATCTAAATTCCCTAAGGATCTGGAATGCATATGATATGTGACATTTTACATTTTGCCTCAAATGTTACAAATCATGGTACAAATTTGTATCACTCATGAATTAACATATTATCCAGTACTTTGTAATCCTTGAAAAATGATTAGAAAGAAAGTCTTGTTTCTTTGTGAAAATGGCCTCCTAATGAAAGCCAAGCACTGGTATTAAGACAGAAGTGAAGAGAAATGAGAGAGGCCCAAGAAAGCAGTGTTTCTGAGACAGAAATAGGGAATTTTGAACCAATAAAGAGGGAACTGGAATTCAGAACCAGAGTTCAGTCTTCAATCACTTAAAAGAAACCAAGAGAAGGTGATTCACAAAATAGTTTCAGCAAGTGCTCTAGACAACATTTACAAATAATTTTAAATCTTTATAAATAGCTTTTATGCGTGTGTTTATATAATCATTAAATGTTTTAAAGGGTCTCTTACTCTTTTAGGGACATGTTATGGTATTTTATAGGAGGAATTACATGCTGTTAGGGGTATCCAATTGGAGCATTTGATGAGGTCTCTGGGCATATCCTTCACATTTGCCAATGGGCTAAGGTGCTTGAAATAAGCTTATCTGCATACTCAATAATAATACATTTGTATATGCATGTTATAATTTTTATTATAATTTTTAAAGTGCGTCCACATACATTATCTCAATTGTCCTTTCCACACTGCTGGGAGGGCAGCAAGGCAGAGAGGATTATAATAGAAAATCTGGGTCCCAGGCAGCTAACATCACTTGTCAAGGGAAATATGGCTAGTAAATTGCAGACCCTGTACTGGAAGCCTGACATAATTCATTCTCCATGTATAATATGGGATTGTGGAAAGCATGAGACTTTTGAAGTTTGGCTCCACCATCTATTAATACTGGCTGTGTGACCTTGAATGAGTCACTTACCATCTCTGAGACTTAGTTTCCTTATTTGTAAAATCAGGATAAAAATAGGGCCATGACAAGTATTAAATAAGTTAACACTAATAAGGCCCTAGCACAAGGCCTAAGACATAGTAGACACTCAGTAAGTTGCAACATTGTTATTATCATCATCATGGAGCTTTGGGAATCAGGTACTGCAAATTTAACACAATAATAATGGTATGATGATGAAGAATCTCTAAGGAGAGTACATTTTATGATATTAAAATTAAAAACTTGGGAAATGGTCTGGTTAAGTAAATTTAGGTACACCCATATATATGTAATAGCTTACAACCCCCCAAAAAAATACACAAGACCGAAATTTGTAAACAGGTGGCCCACAGACATGCTTTCCTAGGCTACCACATGTTTGAAAATCGTTCCAGAGGCAGGAGGGGTGGACTGAATGTTCCTCCCAAATTGTGTTAAATTCTACCTCCTGATCCAAGGAGCAGCCAGGAGGGAGGGTCTGATGGCAGGGTCTGGAACATAGGTGTGAAATGGGAGCTCACCTAGAATCTCCAGGAATGGGAGCAGCATGGAACTCTCCCTTTCCAGCAAGGTGGGAGTGAGGGGATCAGCTGCTCAGAGGCCTGGGATGGGGACCAGAATCCCAAGAGAACAGGATCCCTTTGGGTCCCATGTATGGAGTCTCCTTGTGCAGTAGTAGTAGGGCTTCTCTGGCCCAGGGAGAATGTGGGATAGCTGCATATGGGGACAAGGCTGGGATTCCCCCGCCCCAGAGCATGGGAGCTTGCCAACAGCAGCACTGCTGAGACCTGGGAGCTTCTCTTGGTGCTTACAAAAGGAGCAACATCTTGCACAAGGGACCCTAAAGGCTGTCCCTGAAAGTCGATGAGCTGTGAGTAAGAAAAAGAAAATTTAAATACTTAAGGAGATCCAGGTGCCAGAGAGAAGAAGATAAAGTAGAATATCTCAAACAGTGGTACATAGATGGAAATTTTACATCACCGCCACCACCACCATCACCACCATCATTCCACCTTAGGAGAATTGTTCTTGGTATGCAAAGACATTGTACCACAACAGTAAATCATGATTTTTTAAAAAGCAAATTGAACAGAGAATGGTAACCATTAAGAACTGTTGAAAACAAAATGAGAGACCTAGAAGATAAAATGAAAGAAACATCTCAAAACCCAGAGGAAAAGTATAAAGAGTGGGAAATTGTAAGAGGAAGAATCAGAGAGTTAGAGAAGAGATCCAGGAGTTCTAGCACATGAATGATAAGAAGTTCAAAAGGAAGAGGGGTAAAGAGATGGAGGCAAAGAAATATTTAAAGAATAATAAATCAATCCTCTTTTCTGACAGTATAGTGGGCCCAATACCCAGACAATTCTCCTGCAGCAACAATTAAAAATGTGCAAACAACTCAAACCTTTTTTTTTTTTAGTGTCACTGAGCTGAGTAAGAAAGTTTCAGAGGCCAAAACCAAAGTGAAAGCAGAAATTCAGAGTTAAACTGGCAAGTAGTAAAGTCTCCAGCTGTCCCAAGGATATCTGCTGACTTCTTATAAATTTGACCTTCTGTTTTCCTCCTGCAGAGATGGGAGACAAAGCCTAGGGCTCATCCCAGGTGGGAGTCTGATAGGAGACCCCCTGCCTAAACCCCAGCCCACAGGGCTATGCATTCAGTGAAAGGATGACCCAGTAAAACCAACAGCATGGATATCAATCATTTACCAGATTAAGTTCCAAGGCAAGTGAGTACACATTAAAAAACAAACAAACAAAAAAGCCTAACACAAGAAAACAAGGCACCACAAGAACGCCAGCCCAAACTACAGACAGCAGAATCACATCCACAAAGATTTGCGATGTTGAAATTATCAAATATAGATTATTGAATAAGCATATCTAATATTTCTACAGAAATAAAAGAGCATGTTAAAAGTATTGGTAACAAATAAGAGAATATAAAAAATGGGGGAAGAACTGAATAATAGATCTAAAAATGAAAAGTATTTGAAATAGAGACTTAACAGTTATGTTACATTGCAGGTTAAAACACAGATGAAAAAGAATGAA